ACTTAATGGTAACACACATTTAGCAACAACAAAAAAAATTGAACTTACTGGCTTTTCTTTTTTGAACTGAAAGTTATACATCTGAGTTCTTAACACAACAGATCTATCACTGCCGATAAAAGGCAAGCACCACCCATTAACATCATCACTTTTAAAGAGATAAGACCTAAAAACATCTTATTTGTGAATTAAACAAAACTATCTATGTATACATTATAATACATTTCTATCTTAATATATGTATAAGACAAAAGGAGAGCATCCTGAATAACTTTTGATCAAATGATCAGATTTCCACATCTTAGAAATCAATGTTAATAACTTGAGAAGATGACTTTACATATGCTAATTCATTAGAGCAGGTAATATTTTACATTGGGAAATAAGGCACAAACACAAACTTTATCTGAAGAAAAATGCCTTTTTTTCAACAATTTTGGTCAATTGACTGTCACACTAAGCAAGGTAGCTACAATCTGAAAAATATAATTCCAATAGTTTAGGCAGGAGAGCAGCCCAACGTTTGGTACCTATTAATGTTAATTTCACCATTTTGTTCTATACCTCAAGAACTTTTTAAATGAATCAAAAGATTTTTGCACAATTGAAAAATTTGTTATTGGAAAATAATTCTATTTAATAATTATTTTTGTTATAATTATTTAATAAAAGCTGAGAAAATTTGGAATGGTATTGTATACAAATTGTTACATCGTTTGTTGGTTGAATAATGTCTAAGTTATTCAATTTTAAAAAGCGATACATTAAATGTTTTGACACGAGAACTATTCGACCAATTTCAGTCAAATTTGTATTGTATTTAAAACTGCATACTTTAAAATAGTAAAAAAATTTTATACCTTAAAATTCAAACTTTTTTTGTTGATAATTATTAAATAACTTGCAAAAAAACAACAGATAATTATAAAAGATAAATTTTTACATGGAATTATCTTTGGATGAATGAGTTTTATCCTTGTGTATAAAAATGTTTAAATTTCCTTTAAAATTTCTTGAGATATAGTGAAACACGCAGAACAAGAAATTAACAGTAAGGAGCCCAGAGTTCAGAGTCTGATGTGTTCCCTCTAAACTGTTGGGACCATATTTCCTAGATTGTGGTTACTGAAGTGTTGTTTCATCGCTTTAATACAAGACATCTTATTCAGAAGGTTAGTAAGTAAGTATTTATTCATCGTTGCTGTTCTATCTTTTTCCTGTAGCTGTTGCCATCCAACATATAATAAAATATTTATAATCCTCTCATTAATCGATTCAAGAATCGATTAATAATAATACTACATTACCACCCCTATTTTCAGGGTCAAGAATCCGAATCCATCAAAAGAAAGACATGTTCTGAGAGAAAACAAATTTCAGTAATCAATTTTGTAACTTAATATCGTCTCTACTGATTAAGTAGCACATTTAAGACAAGCTTCTTAAGCCATTAAAACTGCATCTAAGTATGTGAAAATTTAATCATTAAAATTATTCAGGTTGTTCACTTTTTTATTTTGCACACTACACAATTTCCTACTGATTTTAATACACATCTTATATGTATTACCTTTGATTTTAATATGTACATCTTTTATGCACCGAAAGTCTGGGCCTCTTAATGTTGACTGCACTTTTTTGTTTCACACTATCTCTGGAAATATTCAAGAGAGCTAATAATTTTTACTAAAAATTATAAAACTCCCTTATTTTAAAATAATTTTGTACAAAGCTAATTCCTCAGTTGTAAATTAAGTGCAAAAAGTTCTTAATTAGCTTCAATTACTTAAAGAGATTTAACAAAATATGCAAATGGTTAAATGAACATTAGAGGTCTTAACTTTTGACCTCTTCCCTGATAAAAACTATTGTGATCATAATTTCCAGCTCGCAGCTGCCTCCCTCCCTATTGTTTCAGGATAAAAAATTCAAATCTGTTGGGAAAAAAAGGTATGTTCATTCAGATAAAGTACATTATTTAAGTCAGATTTCATAACTTAATGTATCTTCTTTACAAACTGATTAGCTGATTGAAACTGATTAAAGGTCAGACTGTCGAAAGTTCAAGGTCATAATTCAATATTTCGAAATCCAATTATTATACCATAAGCTATAAGAATGTTCTGTTTTTTATTTTGTNAATTATTTAAGTCAAAGAAAGATAATTATCCCAAAATAAAGATAAATATAACTGTTTTTGTCCCACTTCCGGTTTCGGAATGCTATTTCCGGTTTAATTTTTTAGTCATCGATTAATATTCTTTTAATCATAACTTTTGTTCTAATTGACGCACAGTTAAAATTTAAACTGTTTTGAAAACTAGAATAAACGGAGATTCGTAATATGAAATAAAAAATTTTTGTCATTTTAGGCTAAAATTCACTTTTTCAACGTGTACGGATACCTTAACCTACAATCGTGTGACGTGGATAGGAAAATCGCGAAATCTTTCGACAGTTAGCCCAACAGCAGGCGATTCTAACCCACAATCCATCTACCACTCAGGATATTTGAGGTCAGCACTGTGGTCGGTGCGAGCAGGGATCAGAATTCCTATCAACTAGCTATCACTGGGATTCTAACCTTATTAAGAGGAGACTTTTTAAAGTCTCCTTATTAAGACGAGAGCCTTATATTATCCCCTTCTCTCCCATTTAATTTGTTTCCCATTTAATTGTTATATATTTTAAAGTAACCACCCCCTGAAACTGTAAAAGTTTGTGTAACATTACTTTTCAATGAATTTTATGAGTTATAAATTATACACTTATGAATTTTAACTTTTATAATGAATTTTATCCCTTTCTCATATTTTTCGGTTATAAAAATCGCCATACTGTTTTGACAAACCTCTAGCAGATTTTTACTAGTTTTCAAATCTGAAAAATTTATAGGACGCCAAAGATAATAAGAAATCCCTAGTATTAGCATAGAACAGGGATGGCGAACCAATGTCACGCGTGCCATTTATGGCACGTTATTCAATATTTTGGGCACGTCACCGATCACAAAGTTCACTGTGAAGCATATTAACGATTAAATTAAAATTTTAAAAAAATTACTAAGCTAACAATAAATAACTAGCAAAGAAAAATTAACAGTTCTGCTTAAACTAACATCTTATATCCCTAATATAAGTTACTTGTCATCTAATCTGCAACAATGGAAGTCACACTGATGTCACTTTAAGTTGAACTACGCTTATAACTGAGACATTGCAAAATGTACTTTTTTTTCCTCAGTAAAAAAAGAGTTTTGAGTTGATAGTATTTAATATTATTATTTACCCAATAATCACGAAGTCAAAACTATTTGTCGGCACGTCTATGACCTCATTAAACTATTTTCTAGAAAAAATAGCACGCTGGTGCATAAAGGTTCGCCATCCCTGGCATAGAAGAACACTATGAAAAATAAAGAACTCAATAGTTCTTTTTGAAACCATTTTTTGAAGCAGTATACCAGACTACTTTCAAAACATGACTAATAACAAACAATAAAAAATGAATATTTGTTCTGCGTCAGTACAATAAATACAAGTTTTATTGCAAAAGAATGACAAGTAAAGAAGTATTTCAATTTCAAAATTACTTTTTTGGCAGGAAATTTTAAGAGTTTTCAATATGATCTTATTAATGGAGCACTGAACAACTCATGAAAATTGAGATCAATATACAGAAAATATTTTAGTAATATTGCAGTGTAAAAAATAATAATCAGGATAATTAAAGAGTTAAAAATCAGGATAAATAAGGACAAAATATTCATTATCAGGAATACTGGGACATTAATTAACTCTGAACAAACGGTAACTTCATGGAATGTCTCTAAACGAATCAACTTCAAGCAAGTTGCAGTAATTTTAAAACAAGATTTGGACGAGGCCACAAGCATTGCATTTGTTATTTTAATATTTTTTGATAAATTTAACGAATTCTTTCATAGAAAAGAATACCTCATTAGAATGAAATAATAACGAAACAATTCAGAGGATTTAATATCTTATTGGACTGTCATGGGTAGATAAAAGAAAAAAAAAGAATAAGTAAAGGTATTACCATCAAATTTCTTTCTCACATACTCTATACCAAAATCAGAAGGTATGCTGTCGAAACCACACGATCCAATTATGTAGAGATTTTTCTTTTGAGCTTCCTCAAAATATTTCACTTGCATTGATTCTAAAAACTGCAATGGAAAAAAAAGTAAATTCCTTCTGTACAAAATTTTATTTCCCCTATAAATTAATAATTTATAAGCGTAACTCCTCACAATTGTTTTTTTATTGTTTTTTTTTGCATAATATTTTAAAAATTAATAATAAAGATTTCATTTAGATTTTTGTAAGCTTAAGATTTGTTAAACTGTGGAGGCCCAATACTTCATCACAGCTCTCAAGAAAAAGAACGAGCGATCGTCCTTCAAGAAAGTTATTCTGACCAAGCTCAAGCAGTTAATTCAGTCAGAAACGTTATTCTGACTCAAACACTTTTCTACTGACAAAATATCACCNACTGATTAAAGGTCAGACTGTCGAAAGTTCAAGGTCATAATTCAATATTTCGAAATCCAATTATTATACCATAAGCTATAAGAATGTTCTGTTTTTTATTTTGTCCACTGTACAGCAGAACATATATTGATTAAATAAGTCACCTTTTTTTCAAGCTATATTCAGGATCTGGCATTTTCTTGGAAAATAGTTTTTCTCTCAATAACTTCCTGAGTGGTATTAACTCATTAGCATGATGTAAACCATGGATAGCTGACTGCCAAGTAGCAAAATTTATAGTACTTCCCTGGAGATAAAAAGGAAAGAAAAGTTAAAAACGAAAATTTCCATAGGAGGGTCACAAAATGAGAAAAAAACGGGAAAATACTTAACAGGTTCTCTCTCTTCTGTGAGATAGGCCTCTACTGACAAAATATCACCTACAAGTGAAAAATCATTTTTAAAATAGAAAGAGTACTGCTAAATTATATTAGTTGGCAATATTATTGTGGGGCTAATCTTAAAACTAATGAAAATATTTTGTTTTATAACAGATGAACAGCCAACCCATTTTGAGTTTCGTGACAAACTGTTTTTGATTAATTTAACCTACAATCGTGTGACGTGGATAGGAAAATCACGAAATCTTTCGACAGTTAGCCCAACAGCAGGCGATTCTAACCCACAATCCATCTACCACTCAGGATATTTGAGGTCTGTGGTCGGTGCGAGCAGGGATCAGAATTCCTATCAACTAGCTATCATTGGGATTCTAACCTTATTAAGAGACTTTTTTAGGTCTCCTTATTAAGACGAGAGCCTTATATTATCCTCTTCTCTCCCATTTAATTTGTTTCCCATTTAATTGTTATATGTTTTAAAGTAACCACCCCCTCAAACTGTAAAAGTTTGTATAACATTACTTTTCAATGAATTTTGTGAGTTATGAATTATATACTTATGAATTTTAACTTTTATAATGAATTTTATCCTTTTATCATATTTTTCGGTTATGAAAATCCCCATACTGTTTTGACAAACCTCTAGCAGATTTTAACTAGTTTTCAAATCTGAAAAATTTCAAAGACGCCAAAGATGATAAGAAAGCCCTAGTATTAGCATTGAAGAACACTGAAAAATAAAGAACTGAATAGTTCGTTTTGAAACCATTTTTTGAAGCAGTAAACATTACCAGACTACTTTCAAATCATGACTAATGAAAACCAATAAAAAATGAATATTTGTTCTGCGTCAGTACAATAAAGACAAGTTTTATTGCAAAAGAATGACAAGTAAAGAAGTATTTTAATTTTTAAAATTACTTTTTTTGGCAGGAAGTTTTAAGAGTTTTCAATATGATCTTATTAATGGAGCACTGAACAACTCATAAAAATTTGAGATCAACATACAGAAAATATTTTAGTAGTATTGCAGTGTAAAAAATAATAATCAGGATATTTAAAGAGTTAAAAATCAGGATAAATAAGAACAAAATATTCATTATCAGGAATATTGGGACATTGATTAACTCTGAACAAACGTTAACTTCACGGAGTGTCTCTAAACAAGTCAATTTCAGGCAGTAATTTTAAATCAAGATTTGAGCAAGCCCACAAGCTTTATTTACATGACACATATTTTAATATTTTTTGATAAATTTAAGGAATTCTTTCATAAAAAAAATACCTTATTAGAATGAAATAATAACAAAACAATTCAGAGGATTTAATATCTTATTGGACTGTCATGGGTAGATAAAAGAAAAAAAAAGGAATAAGTAAAGGTATTACCATCAAATTTCTTTCTCACATACTCTATACCAAAATCAGAAGGTATGCTGTCGAAACCACACGATCCAATTATGTAGAGATTTTTCTTTTGAGCTTCCTCAAAATATTTCAATTGCATTGATTCTAAAAACTGCAATGGAAAAAAAAAGTAAATTCCTTCTGTACCAAATTTTATTTCCCCTATAAATTAATAATTTATAAGCGTAACTCCTCACAATTGTTTTTTTATAGTTTTTTTTCGTATACTATTTTGAGAATTAATAATAAAGCTTTGATTTATATTTTTTTTTAAACTTTAGATTTGCTGAACTGTGGAGCCCTAATGCTTCATCACAGCTCTCAAGAAAAAGAAAGATCGACCGTCCTTCAAGAAAGTTGTTCTGACCAAGCTCAAGCAGTTAATTCAGTCAGAAACGCTATTCTGACTCAAACACTTTTTAACAATTAAAATAAACAAATCTCTTTTTCCTTTTCCAAAAAATAAATAAATAATATAAAATCAACATACCATAAGCTATAAGAATGNACCTGCCATTTTTTAATCCTTTCAAGTATGATTAAGGCACAAACATACGCTTTATTTTGAATAAGCTTATGCGGACTACCACTAAACTAGTACATATTAATATATGTGCTTAATATTTTTAAAAATAGTGGTGGATCAAAATGATTATGAATTAAGTTTATAAATGCTAGGAATATATAGAAAGCATACATTTTACTACCACTTTAAATATAGAAATAAAATTTTACGCCAAATGCGTAAAAGCTGGCAGGTATGAATTTATTTTGTAAATTATGCAGAGCCTACTAATTTTTACTGTTAGTTTCACTAATTAATAATTAGAAATGCAATGTCACATGGGTTGTTCTCCTATATGCTATCTTTTTTAACAATTAGGTATGGTTTGTATTTATTCCTATCTGTATTTCTTGCCAGTAATTATAGTTATTTATTGCTCTTCTGGGACAAGAAAAAAAGTCGTTTTCTATTGTCTCTTAAATGGTTGTCTCTTAAATTTTATGTTCCTTAGGAGCACTCTGCGTTGAATCTGAGGGATGCAGGTGCCCTCGGTCACTGTACATGGTTTGTAACTTGTAAAGTACAGCTTCCATTCCTCGCATACCGTGAATGTAAATGGTATTTGAATAAAATTTCGAAATTAAAACTAATAATAATTTTTTGTAAGCAATGTATTGCCGATTTTCGACAAGGGATGTAGAAATTTCATTTAGATTCTGACAAATGCCGCAGGTGGAGCTCTGCTAGACAATGTCAGTAGGAATCTGCATCTCCTCTCATGAGAGGTCTATCGTGACGGTCAAGTTGATTTTCTCTGTGTATAACTATCTGGGGCAGACCGGGTTTAAATTCCTCATAAATTATACTTCAAAAAAATATGTTCCAACTTAAATTTTAATTGTCTTTTAAATCAAGTGATTTAATCCATGTCAACCCCGCCTGGAAATAAAAATTTTCAGTGATGAAGCGAGAGAGAAGCTCTCGAAGAAATTCATATGCTTCACTTTGGGGATACCCATCACTGAAACTTCTAAATGATTAGTCAAAAAATTCACTTGCTGTACACTGCTAGACAATCGCTAAGAGCGGACCACAAATGGCTGCATAGCGCATATAAAATTAAGTGTGGTTAAATGCCAAGTGAAATAATGGAATGTTAGAATATGAGTAAATTAAAAAAAGGTAATTTTTAACATCTGAATCCCAGAAAATTTGAAATGTGCTAAAGAAACATAGCTATTTTGTTCCAAAAACGTGAAAATGAAAAGAAAAAAAGAATGGAAATAAAGTTTGTAGGCATCTTGGAGTAAGATGTCAAAAAGGGGTATGACCACCAGAGAAGGCGATGCAAGTTTCTAGGCGTCATCATGTTTGGAACAATACTCAACAGTTGTTAGGGCGATTTGCCCCACTCCTTTTTCGGTGCACAGATGCGGTTGTCCTTGTCTAATGCAGGGCAGTCTCGACCAGCAACACTCCTCCCCAAAGAATCATAAAAATTTTCAATGCAAATTTTTCACTGACAGCACCACGGAACAGGCAAAGAAGAAGTAGAAGAATATTACTAATGTAGCATTAGCTAGTCATAGTTCTAGTTGCAAACACATAGAGGGACATATTGCCATTAATTACATTTGCCAACCCATACCATGACACTACATGTAGAATATCAGCAATACCAATCAGATCATTTGCCTTCAACAATCAGATGAGAAACTGGATCTACTCCCATCTGAGAATAATAAGCAAGCCCAGTCCTCTCTGCTCCAACTGCAACAAGACCTACCCCCGTGATATCTGCGACGCATTGCAGCTGTTTGAAATGATTTCCAAAGGCTTGAAACTCTGTGGCTGACGTCAACCTCTTTGGCAACATCTGCAAATGTTTAGTCTTTTTCAATCCTGCCGATAATACGGCCACACGTAAAATCATCTAAATGACGCGGGAAGATACATAAAAAATAGTTTATAAATTGATTGTTTCCTGTTANATAGTATGAAGAGATGTAAACGAACTAAGTTTTGTCTTCGGCAGACGCTTCTTCTTTTATTCGTCCGAAATGAATATTTCGCTGCAGCAGTATAGGCCAAATACCTAATATTTGCATGCTGCATCTCTAATTTAGTAACAGCAATTGCTGTTTATTTTGCAAAATTTAATTTTTTTTAATTATAACTTTATAGTGTTGAGCATAATTTTGTATGTCTTTACAATTTAAAAACTCCTTGAAAAAGTTTTTTGCAATAACAGGATCCTATTTGCACAAATTCACAAAAGCAGGACCCTGGTTGAAAGAATGTGACTAAGCAATGTATTGCCGATTTTCGACAAGGATGTAGAAATTTCTTTTAGATTTTGTAGGATGTAGATTTTTTCGGTGCGCAGATGAGGTTGTCCTTGTCTAATGCAGGGCATTCTCGACCAGCAACACTCCTCCCCAAAAAATCATACAAATTTTCAATGCAAATTTATCACTGACAGCACCACGGAACAGGCAAAGAAGAAGTAGCAGAATACTAATGTAGCATTAGCTAGTCATAGTTCCAGTTGCAAATACATAGAGGGACATATTGCCATTAATTACATTTGCCAACTCATACCATGACACTACATGTAGAATATCAGCAATACCAATCAGATCATTTGCCTTCAACAATCAGATGAGAAACTGGATCTACTCCCATCTGAGAATAATAAGCAAGCCCAGTCCTCTCTGCTCCAACTGCAACAAGACCTACCCCCGTGATATCTGCGACGCATTGCAGCTGTTTGAAATGATTTCCAAAGGCTTGAAACTCTGTGGCTGACGTCAACCTCTTTGGCAACATCTGCAAATGTTTAGTCTTCTTCAATCCTGCCGATAATACGGTCACACGTAAAATCATCTAAATGACGCGAGAAGATACATAAAAAATAGTTTATCGATTGATTGTTTCCTGTTAAACTTTGATTTCGAACAAAGCTCAATAGGAGTCTCTTGTCAGCACTGTCATTTGACAAACCAAGTCGACAATCCAAAATTTGCCTACACAAAACAAGTCTTACTGTATCTTGCACATTCGCTAATTTTCACATTTTCCTACCCCCAATTTTTTATTGCTATTATTCATATTATCATCTGACCTTAGCGATTGTCCAGCAATGTAGTAGATAAACTATATTCACTTAGATAAGCTTAAAAACACACTTATTAATACATTAATCAGAAGAGTGTCCAAATTTAGAAAAGTAGATATCCTGTAATAAATAAGTACTGTCTTGATAAAAAAAAATTGAATTTTTTCGAAAGTTGACAATAGCTTTACCTACGCTCTACCGCGGACTCATTATTTTAATTTTATTTTAAACATACATGCAAGGACCGATCAAGACAAATCCAGGCCCAAGGCCCATCAAATTTTCCGGGCCCCTTACAAAATATTTTGAAATTATTTTTAAATTTTATATTAATTGAAATTATTTTATAGCAAAATATATTTTATAGCAAAACAACAAAACAATGTTAAGTCAAAATAAAAATAGTTTGGTGACCACAAACAATTGAAATCCTTAGCTGAATTATTTTTTTATTTAATACTTAAACCAAAATAAAGATAGCTCATCTTTCATTAAACTTTTTACTAATTTTTGAGGCCCCTAAGAAATTGTGGGCCCTAGGCAAATGCCCATTGGGCATAGACGATAATCAGGCCCTGCATATATGCATAAACCAGCTAAACACATTGGAACAAGAGCAACAAAATAATAGTAAAAAAATAAAAATAATGTAAGCATATAAAAGATATACCTGTGGTTCTCCACTAATATCGACATAGTGTGCTCCATTTAGTACACATTGTTTAACTACAGGTTCTCCATAAAATCGATACTACAAAAAAGTGGATTGTTTGAATATCAAAAATAATATTTGTGCAAACAATCAAATGAATTTGCTTACAAATGTGACAATAATATATAGAATATTTTTGTTAGCAAATATTTTTATAAAGGGAGACTTTTTATACGTGAAAAGCGTGCTTTGCAATCTAAACTGCACGAAAACTAAATTGTTTCTAGTTGTTCATATATGTATCCAATATTGTTGTCTCGAATCATTAAAATAACATACATGAATAACAAAATAATTGTTTAATAACTGTGCAACATTACTTTTAAAAAAATTCTTCAATTCTAATGCAACAACAATCTACTAAGTTAAAATGAAGTAATTAATTAATTTATTAAATTAAATTAACTAAATAAATTTATCTACTATAACAATCTACTAAGTCAATGAAACATTACTTTTATAATAAATTAATACATGTAAAAAAACATGTTCATGCTTCACAGCATGCCTTTCAACAACTTTTTCAATTGCACATTAATCGAAAAAAATGAATAATCCTATCACACATTTGAATTATGAAAGAGTGTTTGCAATTAAGCAATAGCCCATTTTTATATTGTTCGGTGTGCTAACTTCAACCATGGCATCCTTTTTTCAGTCACAAAAGGATATTTCATAAATTGAGCTTTAATAGAGAAAAATACCTTTTCAACATGTTTTGAGAAAGAGAAAAACAAATCAGTGTTAAATAGACAAGGGAGGCATTGTTTTAACATATATTTTAAGTGAATGAAATATATGAACACATTTAATGAGTTGAAGGAGTTAAGTAGGGGCGAGTTAGACAGGTGAGGGGGCCACCGCACAAGACCCAAATCTAATATTCAGTAAATTATTTATTTCCTCTTTTTTTAAAGTACTGTTTGCCTTAAAAATATATCTATATATTATTTTTCATCAATTATATATTCTTGGGTTAATTTTTTTATGGTTAAAATTCTCTAAGTAAAAGTTTTACTAAATACAGAATAAAGTGCAACGGAAAAACCACTTGTTTGACATTGAAAAGAATGAGTTCAATGTTTTCAAGACAGGATCTTTTCTGCAGAGATTAATGGTTCAAAAAACCATCCAAAAAATAAGCCAATATTCTCTAAAGTTAAATGCAAGATAAAAACAGGGGGTGGAGTGACCTTGCAGAATGACCATGAGCTCATATTTTGTGGCCAATTGAGCCTGTGTGTCTCTTAATACAACGTGAATTGCTGATACAAATCTTCACCCAATGGAAAAAGCACCTTTAAGAGCTTTTAAAAAATGAATATCGAAAATAAGCACTTTTTAAAAACGCTACGCACCATGATGACATATTAAAATATGGAGATTTTAAAAACCAAGTCTAAAACTGAAACAAAAGCTGCGAAAACAGCACAAGCACGAAGATAGCGTGAATTTATTCGTAGTTGATTGAAAATGATTTAATTATCTTCTATTTGTTATTTTTATGGAATAAGGATATTTTGATGCTTGTTTACCTTAAAGCCCTATTGTCCGGAAAAATCTAATTTGAGGACTTGCGAAAGTGCCGACGATTACGGGATATGGAAATTTCCACTTTAGTCATTTCTTTCTGAGTAAATGATTTCCGCGATGGTGACCGCGCGATCGTGTTTACGGGCCTGCTATTAATAGAGCCGTTTTTAGGTTTATAGGGGCCCTGGGCCGGTCATTTTCTGGGGGCCCTTTATGAGTAAATTTAGAGAAAAAAAATTTCATTTTGTATAATTTTTGAAAATTATTTTATTTTAAGAGTAAAAAGCGTATAAATTAATTATAAAAGCTTACATTATTTTTTACCGAAAATTTAAGGTAACAATACTTATCGCTCTTTTCGAGGGGCGAATCTCTTATCACATCATCAAAATTAATTTCCTGTAAGACATCAATGCTCATAATTGACCAATTACTCAATCTTTCTTGAGTCATACTACTTCTTAACTCATTTTTTATTAATTTTAGTCTGGAGAACAACTACAATTAGTTATCACGATGGATAAAAAAATTCGAAGTGAAATGTCAATGTTTGCAAATGTACCTTCGAGATTATTATTTCTCACTATTTTATGCACGTCATTCATGCCTAATTGTCCTAACTTATTCTCCTGGGCAAAATAATGCTTAAATTTTTGTTTATATAAATTTTGAATATATGTACATGTTATTTGCAATTTTAAATGATTTTTCGCAAACTTCTTTTTCAATTTTTCTTTACGTTACATTTTGCTTTGCAGCTCAAAATCTGTAAGACTTAGAAACATCAAATTATGAAGGTGCGTAGAAAATATGCAAGGAGTTAGAAAGAATACAAGGAAATGCAATTTGATTATTAGCTTTTTTTTATAATCGCCGTTGAAAAACTGACTCAATTTTGAGCCAATGTTTAACCACGTAGCCTTGAAATTTTAAAACCAATCCAGAAGGCAAGGGAACTCCTGGATCAGTTCCCAGAGGTATTGAATTGTTATGAAAACTTGGAGGAGTTTGTGACCTCGACAAATTTAACATGCACCAGTCACCATTTTATGCATGGGTATTATTCGGTCGGCTGAATTCGAACTCTCATTCTCACGAACAGGAGTCCATAGCCCTACCAACCAAGCTATCGAGGGCCAAATTACTAGTTTATTTTATAACAGTCATTGAACAGTCCACCCAATTTCGAGTTTACGATTAGTAATGTTCAACTCCGTAGCCTTGTAATTTTGAACTCTATCCAGCATACAAGAGAGCTCCAGGATCAAGTATTGAAAGAAGTTTTTGCCTTCATGGAGGTCACTTTAATGGAACAAACCCGTATTTGCTTTACATAGAGAGGAAGAACACGAGTACCTCCCACGGTTAGCCTGACGGCAAAGGGACTCTAACCCATGATTCGCCTACCACTGAGGATATTTCACGTCAGCGCAGCGGTCAGTAAAAGCCGGGTGTGAAATTCAAATCGACCAGCCATCTCTGGGATTCGAACTTGGTGCCCCTCATTCGGAGGAGAATACTCTATCCCTTGAGTCCATCTTCATTGAGTAATAACTCTGCGGCCGGTACCAATTTTCCTATTTTAATGATTGGTACCAATTTTAATTGATTTGCCTAAATTTAGTGATCTCCAAAATGCAAATAGTGATTCAATCGCAATTTTTGTAGAAAAAAATGGAAATAAACCGTTTTTCCTCTTAATCTGCAATGAATGCAGAAGCAACCACGAGGGTCAGTGAGCAAAATGAACAGGGAGCGGAGCCTTCCAGTGTTTTTAAATAATTGTATAATTATTAGTTTTTTACATGAATGCTTAAAAAATAAGAAAAACATTTTTCAGTATTAAGAATTGATAATGAAAAACTGTCATCAGTTGAAATAGAATCCACGATCTCACAGTTTTGTGTTAGATTTCATAATCATCAGCCCCAAATATAAAATATTACATTAGTATTTCATACCACACTTTTTAAATTAAAATAAAATAACTAAATTCTTTTTCAAAGAAAAATGCTTTCCAAATTACAANAGTGCATTTCAAATTCTAATTTTTAATACAATTTAAATACGATACAAATTTTGAATATAGTTTTCCCTTTTTAACACATTCAATATGCAGAAATTTTATCTTAAATCCATATAGTATGATAATTGCCCTTTTTTTTTTTGCCATTTCAATTAAGTTTTTCAACTCTGATATTTTCAATGCGACATTGCGAGACATGTGAATTTTGAATTTGATTGATATTTTGACACACTTGACCATTTCTATGCTCGTTTCCGAATTCCAATACATCAAATTACTTCAATGTTATTATGACACACGAATTTCGGTTTTGAGGTACGACAATTTATTAATATAATTATATTTATATATAGCTTTTATAGCTTAAACCTATAATTTCCTTTGAAACACATTCATACATTAGATAATCCTTTAAGTTTATTGGCTTTCAGACTAAGTTTTCCAAATCTGGAAAAGGGTTGGGAGGTCACACACTGGAAGCCCTTCTAGCGATCTTTAAATAACTTAAAAATGAAGCTAAATAACAGAAGGCAACATTTTACGAAGTTCTGACTTTGTTTTTTAAATTTATTGTTATTTAGGCAAAACTTGGAAAGGTATATTTATCTTTTTAGGAGATTTCTATCTCACACATAAAGGAACATAAGGGAATAGCAACATCAAAACACATAAAGGAATAGCAACATCAAGATGAATAGTAAAGGAAAAAGCAATCTTACAGGTCCAACACAGCTAATTATGACAGCAGAACTTCTACACATATGTGCCAACGAAGATTCATCTCCTGTATCAGCCTGTATAATGTCAACTGAATCCAAATTTTTACCTGTAAATGGACAAAAGAGAGTGTATGACACACTGTTAAAAGTTTTAATTAATAATAAAGAATTTTTAAAAGTTTTTTTCTCAATCTTATTTAAATTTCATAGTGATATTATGATATTGAAACAACTCTGCTCATTCACAGTACTACTACTACTACTGAAATATTTCTGTGGTTTCAGAACTAAGTGCAGAAAATTGAGTCACTTGTCCGATTTTCCAGTGACTAAAAGTTATAAACAGTTCATACATATTTCCCACTGGGAATATGTATGAACATGTCCAGGGTGCTTACATGTCCAGGGGTCTGCCCGGGGCAAATTTGCTACCGTTTAGAGGTACCTTCACAAATTCAACTTAAGGAAAAACGGTAGTCTCACAAAATACTTTTTCTTAAAATTTTATTTTTGTATCCCGTGAGAAACGATAAATCCATATTTTAGTACTGATTTTTTAATATAATTTTTAGTTTTCACAAATTATGTCTAAATTTTCACAAAATAGGTATCTCCCAGAAAAACCTAGACAGACCCTTGATGCCTTATCTGGAGTTTCTCTAAAAAAAAAAAAAGTTAATAAAGTGAATTTACAGAACAGGAAATGTGACACAAAAAAAAATTACAGTACAAGAAATGTGACAGCTAAACACAAATAAAATACTCAAACCAAAACTTGAAACCAAAAATTAAATAACCAAAACATTCCTTGATATTGATTACTGGTCTGCGAGACAACTAATAGGGTGGATCAAGTTACATTTTAGTGATCTCAGTCCAATGTTAATTTCAAACCTAGAGAGCACATTTGAATTGAAAATAGTTTGGTGCACAAGAAAAGATCTATAAGAGTAACTCAATCATTAGGAAGAAAACAATTGTAGATTATCATAAAATATATTTTAAGTAGTATGTCTAAAATCAATATTTCCATTTTCTGACCTACACCCAAATAATGACCACAACCAGTCAGCGGCACTTGAGAAAGTAAAAATAGGCAAACTCCAGGCTAATCGGGATTTCTTGTATATGATGACATAGCAAAAAAAATGTGAAATCCATAGCAATAACTGATAAAAATGCAATCATAAATCTACATGGGATAGCAAGTGAATCATTAATAATTGAGCATGAAATGAGTGATTTGAAGCCTGACAAACAATATATTGTATTTAGACATCGAGGTTATAAAAACCATGTAAAAATCCGTTCTAATAACTATCGAAAAAGCGTTCTACACGATCAAAAAACCACGCGGATTCACGGTGGAATCGTCGCTAATCGAAAAATAATTACTAGGCAACGTGATTCGGAATTTGCAGTATGTAATAATGTTATATTAAAATATCGAGATTCTAAAAAAACATGTATAAATCTTTAATAATAGGTACTAAAAATAATGATTGGATTGGATTTATTGCATTGATCAAAATTGATGTTAATTATCGTACTATTTATAATTTTTTATAGAATAAAGATAATTTGATGTTTACCTCATAAACCTATTATCTGTAAAAATCTATTTGGCTAACATTGGGAGGTTTTCCTTCCCATGTAACATAAATACAGGTTAATTCCATCAAAAAGTTCTCCATGAAGGAAAATCTCTTCCAATATTTGATACAGGAGATCCCTTGTCTTTTGGATTAGGTTCAAAATTACAAGACTATGGAGTTGAACATTAAATTAGTAGTCTTAAACGCGAAAAATTGGGTCTGCTGTATAATACTGATTATAAAAAAAAAAAAATTGCTCTTAATATTAAAGCCAAGTTCTCCCGAGGAATAAAAGAGGGCAGGGCGCTACCTCTCAGAAAAGGGCACTTTGAGTTTTGAAATGGCACTCACTTACCACCGTAAAAATTTATCGAAATGTGTCATATTACGTTATAACTGAATTTGATATTCAATGTTTAAATTACCCACTTATGCTATTTTATGTTCACGTTTGTAAAAACAAATTTTCTCTCACTATTAAAGTAAGAGAAAAATTTGTAGTTTATAAAATAATTAAAGACATATACTAAAAGACAATCCCTGTGCATAAATGTTTTTCAAAAAAAAAAATATATATAAACTAAAATAATTGATTAATTAATAGACAACTCAAAGCCTTTTTCTATAATTTAAAATGAAAATTATAAAAAAAATGCACATATATCAGTGCATTTTCAAAAAAAAAATATTTAAAAATTAATTTCAAAATTTATAATCATTAAAAATAACTTCCAAACTCCCTTCCAAAAAAATAAATGTCCCGAAAGTTGTTCTGCCTCAGATCACAATACGGAAATCTCGTAAAAAAAAGAGATAGGTAGGCTTATAAAAATTTAATGAGTTGAGAATAATCAAAGCAAAGTAAATATTTGTAATAGTTATCAAAATTAAACCGATAAACACAGTTCATTTTACTGAATATGAATAAAAAAGGCAATCTTTTTAAGGGTGGGCGGCTTATTTTTACAAAAAGGACATTGAGGATGCATTTTTAGAGATCAAAGAGCAGGTCCTCTTCTAAAAACACTTAGCGAGAACACTGATTAAAGTTCTAAGAATTAAACAAACAAAAAAAAACGAATATTTTTCAAACAAATTTTGTCAAAATTAGGTAGCGACGAAAGGGTTAAAACTAGTTTTTAGAGTCGATGAGTTGCTTGCAGAAAGTTTTTTAATTGAGATTTTTATGTTCGCAGAAAATTGTTAACTTTATCTAAGACTGGCCATCATATAGAAACTTGAACCCTTGCCTTTACCTTATTCATGCTCCTATACCAGTAAATTTTCAGTGCTGAGGGGGAGTGCTTTCTTAAAGTAATAAAGAAAGTGATGCCAGAGATAATAAAACAAGTCCTCTGGCCGGCGAATACGAATATTTACACTGATAGTGGTGAAAAATGATTTAAGTAATAATAATGTTTCAATTTAGATAGTTTTCAAAAAAATACTATCTTACCTATTTCCGTCTCGATTTCTTTTAAAACGTTCCTCAATTTCTCGACATTCCTTCCTGCAATACACCACTTTATTTCAGAATGATAAATGGCAAGTTCACGGACGACAAACACCCCTGTATATCCACTTGCACCAAAAACAGTAACTTCATACTTTCGTTCCATTGAAAAATAAAACTAAACTGTCTTTACCGAGAGAGCAGGGAGAGACTAATGTGATCAACGAGTAAGAAGGGTGATAATAAGTTTTAATTTTGGTAAACTTTCTCATTAGCTTAATACGTCTTGGCATAATTAGCATAATTTGATCTTGGAATTCAGCTCATTCTAATTGTCTTCATCATTCATTCTTATTCTAATTGTCAGTAATTACATCAAAGATATATCCGCCATATTTTTCCTTCATTTCTTCTATTGCTCTTTTTGCAAGAGCAGCACAATAATCAGAAGGTTTTTTTTTTTTTATAGGTACTAAANATAAAATACACACAGAAAAATGCACTGTCTGAAAAAATAAAACAGGTGTTTAGAGAACTACAAGAAATGTCACAGCCACCCTTTCCTTCAATAAGCAATAAAACACTCTTCCCACCTTTCCTTCTCACTGTTAACTGATAAAGACGATTCTCCCTCAACATAACACACATAGTCATTTGATACCCAAAAATAGCCGCCTTAGTTTAGGATACGGGAAAATGGTTAGCATTTTTAACTTATCTTTATCGTATTTATGGCCCTGGGCTCTTTTGTCCTCTTTTTTAAAATGTCAAATATCAACAGACCCCTACCCATTCATAAATTGTCTCAAACAGGCAATTATCCAGAATTTCTAGGGGGATTTCAGTAGGGGGAGATTCTTGTAGATATTTTCTATTTTTGTGGGTTTTTTTTTTTTGGTAAATTTCTCTGAAATAGAATCATTCTAAATCTTCTCTTACCTATAAGCGCTCACAGCGTTCCATCATTATTTAAACTAGACATTTCCAGTCAGTTCGAAATTTTGATAAATATAAGTTGTAATTCTGTTTACTTTTATATTTTGTTTCATTAATTGTTTTAACTTAAATTATCAGTTGTTATTTTTTAAAATAAAGTTTATTTAAAGTTTTTGCAATAATGTTTATCGTTGGATAATAAGAAGTCATTAAATAAATTGGGGAGGTAAACAAATGTTTGTATTAAATCACTTACTAATACATTTATTATTATATGTTTGCAAGAATTGTTTTATAGTTTGTATATTAAATTTATTTATACAGTACATCATTTCATGGTTTTACTGTTCATTACGCATGAATTTATTTTGAACGCACGGAGCTACTTTTTATTTATATTTGTAAAATCAATGTAACTTTTTAATTTTTAAAATTATAAATCGAAACTTAGAATTTTAATGACCTTTCTATAACTTTGTTTTCATTTAGAAATTTAATGCCACGTTTATGTTTATAAAAACATATATAAAATTAATGAAAAATTTTAATTAAAAAAATTATATGAACATTGATTATTTATGTTCAAATATAAAAAATTATCACTAATTTGCACTTTAATTAATTAAAACACTGAAGAATTACTTTAAATGCAAAAGTTTCCTAAAAAAATTCATATAATTTTATTACAGTAAAAAAAACTAATAAAAATATTTTTTTTAAGAATGGGACAAATTGTTAAACTCTATTTATTGTATGAGTGTTTAATGATTACTTCATGTAATTTTATTTATTTTGTTTTTATCAAAATAATATGGGATTTTTAAAGTAATTATTTTGTGCTAATCAACATTTTCATAATTTGGTATTATCAACAAATACTTTTTCTGAATTATAAGTATTAATTTTTAAAATTTTAATACTGAAACTATAAGTACTGCCGATAGAGGAAGGAAAATAAGAGTTCTATGTGTTGTCTTTTTTATTTTTTCGTGTACATTTATATGAAGTTTTTATGGTTACCAAAATAAATCATGCGATCCAAGAAAACCAAAAATATCTCATCTTGTCTGTTTCTTTGCTTGAAAATAATAAGAAGACAAATACATTAAATAAAATGGGCATAAAAATTATTCCCATCACAATTATTATAATTCATCATTTCTTCAAAATATGAATACTATAGTTCTGTTAATCAACTGAATAAAATTTTATTTTCCTTTTTAAAGACATCAATTTCGATTTTTAAAACGTTTTGAACCGGAACAAAATGAGAAAATGGCTGTACTTACTGCTTTAATATTCTTGAATTTCTCAAAAAAATTTTCTTCCTCTTTTTTTTTTTTTTTTTTTTTTTTTTTTTTTTTTTTTTTTTTTTTTTTTTTTTTTTTNATTTTAATCATGATAATCTCTACTGAAACCAATATTAAAGATAGTTTCTCCAGTATTATTATTAATGTTGTATCTTTCATCTCAGAAGTCCAGATCAATTCAAATTCATAGTAAAAAAAAAATTTTTTTCGTTTAACAGAACGTATTATGGACTTTTTCCTTACATTTTTTTTAAAAAAATTCGACGACAATTTAAAATGTTAAAATACGCCCCAAAAAATTTATCTCATTCGTGATTGTTTTATCACGTAGGATTACACGACATTATATTATGCATTTATAAATTTCATGTCATTCTCATCAAAAACTTCAAGAACAGACAAAATGTTCTTTTCAAAATAAAACTATATTTTTAAGACATATAATTGTATTTACTGCTTATTCTACTGATTCCCATTTTGAATCACACCTTCACATTGCACAGTTGCATCTGCATCATCCGGAAAAACTCCCCAGTTTAAATTTTTTATTCATTTACAAGCCGAATACCAGTTCAGCGCATGGGGTAGAAAATAGGAAAGTAAATAATCAATCGATGTTAATCAACATGCACAAGCATGTACCAAAGCAATTAATAAAGTTAAAATAATTTTAAAAAATTATTTATTATTATTTGTTGCTCTTTCCAAGAAATTTCCGTTAGATCAATGTGCTATCCTAATGTTTGAACAAAATTCAATTTTTGTATAATTTTAATTTTTGCATAATTATAATTTGAATAAAAACTTAAAGACTAGTGAAAAAAAAATTCAAAAATAAAAATAAAAGGGATTTAAATATTATTTTATAATTAATTTTAAAGTTGTTAAAAGGTAACGCAACAAACAGGATTTCTAATTTTGCAATTATCTGAAAAAAGTGGTGCGGCACAAAATTAGGGTTTCAATTGAAGTCAACATAAAAAAAATAATATTTAAGAAATGTAAAAATTGAGAAGCCTGTGTAAGAGTCTTTTTTTTTCCGAATTACTTCTACTATTCTAGTTTTCATAGAAGAAACTAGTTTTTAACAAAGTTAGGTATATGTTTTATATTATTGTAATCTCGTCTTTTATCACACGAGGACATAGTTTCTTCTTTCCGCATCCTTTTTTACCATTATTGTCTTTCAATTTTAAGAACTTACTGACTAGAGTCTTTGATCTTGAACTACCCATCATTATCATCGCAATAGCACGAATATTTATTGAAGAAAAAGCTTCTATCGGTTCTTTTCATGATCAGTTAATCTCTTTACCTTTGCCACCGAAACTTCTAAAAAACGCAATAAAAAATACATAGCAAGAATTCATGGCAAATTTGCAAACAGAAGTGTTTTTCAATAGTCGTAGTAGCCATAGTTTTTTTTAAATTATATCTATATCTAAAAATTACTGGTAGCCTTTAAGTTTTTACTCAGGCTAAAATACTAATTTTGATCTTAACAATTTTTTCTACATAATTTTACATAATTGCAAATCTTGCTTGTAGCGTTATTTCTTAATAATATACTTTAAGAATTAAATAAAAGGGATTTAAATTGTATTTTTCGATTTTCTCAAACGTTTGCTCTAGTCTGAAAATTTTTACTCAGACAGTACTTTATGTTGTATTTCATTATAGATTGTTTGATTTGTAATTTTCTGCGCATTTAATAGTATTTTTTCACAGAATTGTACACATGATGCTCCGTAAAGACAACTCCTTCGATAAATTTCTGGAATTCTTGTCATAAATGAAGTAAAAAAAAAAGGATCACAAATTGATGTTTCAGGGGGGGGAAAAAGAAAATCAAAACATGACCAAAAATTTATGTTTAGTTGCCGAAAAAACATAGAGGAATTGAAAGACACTTATTTGAGACACTTCAAACTTATTTCGGCAATCAAACTGGTTTGAAAGTTTCAATTCCGTTTATCTTAATAGTGATTCTTACGATTTTCTTATCGTTTTTACCCGCTTTTAAATGGTAGTTTGCTATTCCAAATTTGTATAGTTTTTTAAACTTAATTCTTAAAGATGATTCTAAAATTATATATGAGGAAGTAGATTACGGACCACTCTGCATCATAGAATCAAGATGTTTCTTGATTCTATGATGCAGAGTTTATTCATTCATTAGAGTTGATATATAATGTATAGTTAAAATCTTCAATTTTATCAGGGGTTAAAATCTCTTTGAAAAACGTTTTCGGAATCTGCTGAATAGATTTCAAATAGAGCCCCTTCTATAAATTAGCGTAAATCCTTCCACAACAGGAGATTTTTGCCACCCATGATGGGACTCACCTCCACTAAAGTGTGAAATACTGAAAATAGGAGGTTCCTCTGCCTCGCTCAACAAATAATTTAAACCAATGAAACGATTTAATAATGAATACACCCCAATATTTTGAAAAATAAAGGACAGGCGTTATAAGTAGTTAGGCGCTCATACAAGAAATTCTGCTCGTTTTAGTTAATGTTTCAAAATTTAAGACAAGAAAATCAAATATTTGAAGTCTCTAGATTTTTATAATCTATTTTGATGCAGCTTCTGGGCTTTTATAGTTGATTCATTGATTTAAGTGAACAACGTGTACTACAAGGATTTTCTTTGATTGTAAGTAATCATTTCCTAAATATTTAAACTAATGCATTATACTTTCCCCTATATCTTTTATTTTATTTCAGATTACAATTTTCTTCCTTTAAAAAAAAGATTAAATAATTACTTTTTTTAAAATTTTATAATAAGTCTTTTACAATACATATCACTTACATTATATTTATATCACTACATATTATATTACTTGAAAAAAATTCTTATACTGTTTTTAAAACAATACAGTATTTTTCCTCGAAAAATTACCTTTTCTACAATATAGTATTTTTCCTTGTTAAATTACCTTTTTTTTAAAATGATGTAAAGAATGTTATGTTATATGTTAT